TTTGGTACCCTCCAAATGTTTTGCTCTGTGAAACTCAGAACTCCCAGATCACATGGTTCAGGTAGATGGAAATTCTGAAAGCTGAAATCCAAAACATCTGAAAGACACCAAGATAAGGAAAACTGTACGAACACCAGAGTTTAACAAATCTTAATTTTCTTGTTAACCAACCAAAATATGTTTTCCAGATAACCTTGCATCTTTTCTCCAGAGGAAGGGGAAAGTCTATCTGGTATTAGATTTAGATTGACCCAACACAACTGGAGATGAGTCTCTGGTCTCCTTTAATGAAAAGAGTGAAACATTTCCATTGTCCTAAGTCCCAAAGGCTTCTAAAAGCATAACCTTATGGAACCCTCACTACCTCACTATGGAATTTCCTATTCTTGGCAATGCATTTGGAATCACCATTAGTTCAGTTTAGCTGATTGCTTAAGATGCATCTCTTGCCCCAGGCTTTTGAATCCTTCTTAATGTGCTTGCTCCTGCTGTTTTGAATTTAAGTACTGCTTTTAAAGTTCTTTAAGCAATTCTGTTGCTTTATTTTGTCAACTATGATCCTCTAATAAAGAATACTCTATAAATAAAGAATATATAATAATATGAATAGTTACAGCTTCCTCAAGGCTTAGCACACTTGTGCCATCCATGGGTGCTTCTTCAGATACCAGGATATCAGAAATAATTCTTAGGTTTCTCCAGGCATAACAGCAGAAGTCTCCCCTCTACCTTGTGCTCCAAACAGAATGAAAAAGCACTTTACAACAGTGAGCACAATTTCTGTAATATAACAGGAAAGCAGAGACTAAAACTTCAAATATAGAAATAGTTTTCTTTCTAAAAGTAATGCTTCCTACCTCACCCCATTCCAATCCAAAGGGCCACTGAAATAACAACTTTGCTGCTGGCCTTAAAGGGAGTATAAAATATATTTCCACTAGATTCAGATCTTTCTAAATTGTGGACATGGTATTGTTCTAGTTATGTTCTCTTGGTGCCAGTTTTTATAATAAACGTATACATTAATGCTACCTCCTTCCCCAGCTAGGACCCAGTTTTCAAATAACATGGTCAGAACTTCTATAGAGAAATTTTAAAAATACTTGTGCAAGAAACAATCTGAACCATCTTTAAAATAAGTTTTAAAAATCTCAAAAGCAAAATATTCCTCAGCATGGCAATTGCTGAGAATTCTGGGAACTGAAGTCTACAAATCTGGAGGAAATTCAGGCTGTGAATATCTGGTTTGTATATAGCACAAAAAAAAAAAAAAAAAATGCTATCAAGTACTAATTTGCCAGAGAGGATATACTTCAATTTAAACAGAATTATACTTGCAAGTGGAATAATCAGTATTTATTTCTCACTAACCTTGTTTTGACATTTAAAAATGAATGAGGAATTATAAGATAAGATTCCAGAGAATTTTGCTATTATAAACACATTGAATTCAATTTATTCTTTTCTTATTTGCTCCTCCTTGCTAGTGACCCTTAAGTAAACCTGGAAAATTTCATCTAGCATGTTGCCAGATAAGTGATTTTTATTTGCTTCTAAAAAGAAACAAGATTCTCATTAACATACATTTTGTTCAACAAGTTATTAAGTAATACCCCATAAAACAAAACCACCTGTTTTAGTAAGGAAAATAAATAAGCTGAGTTTTAATATATGTTTTATAGTCACTCACATAGAAGTGGAAGTAGCAAACTTCTGCCAATATTTCAAAACTTTCAGGAAGTTATTACATTTGATTCAGCTTGAAAACCACTGATTTATTTTATCATCAGAGTTAAAAAACGAAAGCAAAGACATTTTTAATAATGCCCAAATCTTCTTATATTTCTTAATACAAACAACTATAATATTTGCCAAACAAGAAAGTATTTGATCTTATATCTTTTACCTGGAAATCAGAAATGAATTGGTATTTGCAGATGGTAAACTAGAATACTAATTTTCTAGATTTTTTGATAGCAAAGGCATCAAAAACAAAGACAAAAACCAGGATTCCCTTTCCCGTAAAAATAGTTGGTAATTCTTCCAGCAATGCAAAATGATGGTAAAGCTGAAAGCACAACTCAGAATGTATCTCAAGCTCCTCTGCAACTTGTAGGGTTTCTCTAGAAGGAAAAGTTGATAGAAATAGCTCCCCAAAAGCAGAGTATATGAAAATTACATGTTTATCAAATCAAAAGTAAGATGGTAAGGATTTCATATTGTTTACTCTGATACATAGGATGTCAAAGAGTTCTTCGAATACTAGGAGTTCAGAAGTCCAATCTAAAAATGTGAGTTCTCCCAACATCTTCCCCTTCATCTCCTCATTCTAATTAAGAACCAGGAGCTCAGCATAAAAGATTTATAATCCTGTTCTCTTTCCATTCCCCCAAGTAACTTGCCAACCAATCAATTTCAATTACTGATTTCTATGATTTCAAAGAGCACCTATTACAAACGTTCAAGCTAATTTCTGATGCTATAAAGACTATGTAGCTCAGGGTTGAACTGTGGAGTCCTTGGTGCTCTCTGAGCTTGGTTGTTTGATTGCAGATGTTTTATTACCCGACTAGGTAACATCATCAGTGCTAGTGAGTGTGGGGTTTGCTCCCTGTTTATACTCCCCACTACAGTGCCTCCAGAAAATCAAAGACCTAAAAATAGATTAAGATGAAATTATGGCTTCATTCGATGTCACAGCACTCTTTGCATCCATAGACCCGGAACTAGTAAAAGAATCCATGGCAACAGTACTACACAACACACCTGACCTAACCAAATACACTAAGATCAAAATACCCAGAATCATGGATC